TCCTGGACCCCTCAGGCAGCTTCCCCGGACAAACCTAAGTCGAAGCATTAGCAGTTAATTCTGAAATATTTCAAACGCAGGATTTTCCAGCTAAAGCCGCTGTGCATTCTTTCACTTTCTGATGGTTTTGCATTACAATGAAAGAGGCAGTTTCCGATGGGTGTCGTTCCAGATACGAATCTATCCGGTCTACAAGAGAAGACACTTCTCTGAAAAAGTCAAACAATCATCTGCCAGTAAATACCACTACCGTCGTGGACGATTGCAGTGGAAAATAAAATCATGTGACTGAACTTCGATCTGGATTAAACAGTTTGTGACAGTTGTTATCAGTTAAGTTCCTGCCTTTCAATCAGTGCAGATGGAAGCCTGGAGCCCTGCATGGAAAACTTGGAGGAAGACGCACACCTTGGAATGCTTGCCAATCACTAGGCTTCCTGGACATACCTGGACAGTGAGAAAGAGGATGATGATGATACTTTAGAAGTTGATACTTGAACCTAGCTCTCTCCAATCAGCAAGGTAGTTGTCATTATTTATAGGTTAGGGTGAGAAGGTTAAGGGAATTGGCTAGTCATGTTGATGAATGGCAACGTATGCTGCACCTCCTGTACAGACAAGATCATGATGTTGAAAAAAAACGATACTTTAATTCTAAGATTTTTCAATAAGGTCGGGTTATCCATGTCTGCCGAATGAACGTCTAATTTACGACCATCAAGTTAGGGTGCTAGCAATTATTTGTCTCATGCATACAGCAGGACCTAACCACGGGACAGTTAGCTTGTTCCCTAAATATATCACTAGTGGCCTGACCATGATCGTTGAGACTCCTGCTGGACGTCTCGCTTTCGGTGAATCTCCTCTTTTCCTTGGTCAAGCATGGTCGTCAACTACCCCTCTCAAATCACATCATTATGCGTTAGGAATTTTGCGAATCCAGTCTACTTCCTCTCTAAAATTCACTATGAACTTATTTTTAACATCTTTTCTCATTAGTCAAATATCACACGATGCAATATTGGTGCTAGTGACTCTTGAGGAGTGTGGTGCCTAGTTTTTTCATCTGAATATCCTTTTCTCATCAGTCTAATATCACCTGATGTGAAACTTATGTCAGTAACTAATTAGGAGTTTTGCTTATCCAGTCTACTACCTGTTTACAAGTCACCATAAATTGTATCTGAACATCCTTTTTTCCTCATTCACATATCACCTGATGTGATGCTTTTGTCAGTGACTATCTAGGAGTTTTGCTAATCCAGTCTACTATCTGTCTACAAGTCATCATAAAATAAAATCTAATTATCCTTCTCTCAATACTGACTTATCTGACTACAATACACATTTGAGACTTGTTCAAGTGTCTAAGTTGGTAGGCTTGATGTGATGGTATCTTCTTCTCCACAATGTGTAAAAAAGAAGATAATCATCTGCACATATTGAAGTTGCTACATGTTTAAGGTTTGCTTTGTCTCATGCTCAGACCCATCCTTGACATTCTAAGAAAGGTCTTGCGAAGGCAAAACTCTTCCTACTTCTGCGTTCCGTTTGGAGTTTAAAGTTTTTCTAATCCAGTCTACAACTTGTCTACAAGTCACGATAAAAATCATTCTGAATATCCTTTTTCATCAATTAAATATCTCCAGATGTGATATTCAAGTCAGTAACTTTTTAGGAGTTTTGCTACTTTAGTCTACTACATGTCAACAAGCCACCATAAAAATTATTTCTGAATATCCATTTTTCATCAGTTAAATATAAAATGATGCGATATTGATGTAAGTAACTCTTGACAGGTTTTGCTACTACAGTCTACAACATGTCTACAAGTCACCATGAAAATTATTCTGAATATCCCTTTTTCATCAGTCAAATATCCCTCGTGTGATATTGATGTCAGTAACTCTTTAGGAGTTTTGCTAATCCAGTCTACAACCTGTTTACAAGTCACCATAAAAATTATTCAGAATATTCTTTTTTATCAATCAAATATCACTCGTGTGATATTGATGTCAGTGACTCTTTAGTAGTTGTTCTAATCCAGTCTACTACCTCTCTTAAAGTCACCAAAAGTTTAATCATAAGTCATATATTACCTGGTGGGATACTGATGTTAGTGACTATTAAGAGTTTCGCTATTCCAATCTACTCTCTCTGTATTAATGACCATGAATCTATGGTTTACACATTTCTTCGTGGCTAGGTGGAGTTTGGAAAGAAGATGTTTCATTCCACTGGTTGGAAAACCGGCAAGCATTCAATCGCTGATGAAAAAAAAATTGAGATGATCGAAGCTAAATTGGAATTTATTTACAATATACAACACCCATTTTGTACAGGATGTAGATTTGTTTGGAACTTGAACTGGGCAGCAATCTCCATGTTCTCAACTGAGCAGAAAAAAATGAAGACTTTCAAGGTAAGAGCTGTATTCACTTATACGGCTCCAAGCACGGTGATTTGCAAAATAGAATTTATCAGATCTACAGCCGAGGGATGATTGACAAAAAGCTAGACTGAAGAATGTTCGGCACCAACTATGCTTCATAGAGATTTTGAAATGGAGGTAGAAAATGGTTATACTTCGAATGGACAATATGCTGTATCTGATGTGTTTCTAGTGTCAAGAGAATTTCGTGAAAAGTCTACCTAAGGATATAAAGGGGTTCTGTCAGGTCCCTACAATAATTGTGGGTGGAGGATTTTGATCAAGCAAGTTACTGTTCTTTGCAAGAACAAAGCAGCCATGGAGTTAAGAAGTGTGAATTCATTCATTCATCATTTGTCAATAGTAGGTGAACCAACGTGAGGTAGTGTGCAAAATATACTTACTTCAGGTATTTACAAAAATCTGAAATGTAGTTCATAAATCCAAGAGTTTTCTAAACAGCACCTCCTCGATAATCATCTCCTATCAAGTGATTAGCAAACAAATTGGCAGATATGACATTGAAAAAGAATCACCAAAGACTGTCCCTGATGATGTGCTTGGGTTCAAGAAGCTGCTGGGCAAACAAATGTCAAGAGCGAATAGATATTTTCTACGTTATCGAAGAAGTACTACAAAGAAAACAAAGATTCAAACATATGCACAGACCTGAGGTCACAAAAACAGTCAGATCTGTGTAAAAAAAATTTCTAAGGGCACTATTGGAAGTTCTTGTTTTGTTGTCTGTGTCGATTTCGTAGAGTTTCATGATGTTGGCTTGCTGTTCTCACCATGACTGGATTTACACCGATGGCTTCCATGACTGGGGATAGTCAATCATGATTTGTACCTAGCTCTTTCCAATCAGCAAGGTAGTTTTCATTCTTTAGAAACTCAATGTGAATATTTTTTATTTCCTGGTTTATTTGAGATTTCACTTAGTTGTTCCTCTGCATGCACGCAAACATCTGCATACGGTCTTGCAGTGACGTTTTGAAAAACTGCTTTATCGAATATAATCTCTGTGACTGATAGTTATTAAGCAGATGGGTTCTTGATGGAATCTTTATTGTATCCCAAATTACTTGGGTTGAAAAGCAAAATCAAGAGGGCAGCCACTTCCAGTCCACCTGTAAAAAAATGACAGGAAATTAGTATTAAGTCTGCCAGCGAAGATTTATATCGCTGTTTTGCTAATCCAGTCTACTACCTGTCTACAAATCACCATAAATTTAATCTGAATATCTTTTTTCCATGAGTCAAATACCTCCTGATGTGATATTTATGTCAACAACTCTTTAGGAGTTTTGCTACCCCAGTCTACAACGTGTCTACAAGTCACCATAAAAATTATTCTGAATATCCTTTTTTTCATCAGTAAAATTATTTCTTATGATATATTGATGTCAGTAACTCTTATAGGAGTTTTCCTACTCACGTCTACTACCAGTCTACAAGTCACCATACAAATTGTTCTGAATATCCTTGTCATCATTCAAATTTCTCCTGATGTGATATTGATGTCAGCAACTCTTCAGGAGTTTTGCTGATTCAGTCTACAACCTGTCTACAGGTCACCATAAATAAATTTTCTGAATATCCTTTTTTCATCCGTCAAATATCTCCTGATGTGATATTGTTGTCAGTAACTCTTTAGGAAATTTGATATTCCAGTATACAACTTCTCTACAAGTCACCATCAAAAAATATTCTGAATATCCCTTTTTCATCAGTCGACTACATCCTCATATAATATTGATGTAAGTTACTCTTTAGGAATTTTGCTAATCCAGTCAATGACCTGTCTACAAGTCACCATAAAAATTATTATGAATATCCTTTTCTCATTAGTCAAATTTCTCCTGATGTGATATTGATGTCAGTAACTGTTTAGCAGTTTTGCTAATCCAGTCTACTACCTGTTTCTAACTCATTATAAAATTTCATCTGAATGAATATTCTTTTTTCATCAGTCAAATATCACCTGATGTGATATTGATGTCAGTAATTCCTTAGGAGTTTTGCTAATCAGTCTAGTACCTGTTTACAACTCATCATAAATTTGATCCGAATGAATATCCTTTTTCCATCAGTCAAGTATCACCTGATATGATATTGATGTCAGTAACTCTTTAGGAGTTTTTCTAATCCAGTCTACTACCTGTCTACAAGTGACCATAAAAAATATTCTGAATATTTTTTTCATCAGTCAAATATCTCTCATGTGAAAATGATGTCAGTAACTCTTCAGGAGTTTTGTAAAACTAGTCTACTACCCGTCTACAAGTAACCATAAATCTAAATTTACTTCTCTCATTACTCAAATATTACCTGATGTGATATTGATGTTAGTTACTCTTAGGAGTTTCTCTATTCCAATCTACTCTCTCTCTATTGATCACCATGAATCCTTTTTGAATATAATATATTTTCCATCAGTCGAATATCGCCTGATGTGATTTTTCAACATCACAATCCTGATCATAGATGATCACTCAGAACACTCTTGCAAGGAGAAAACTCTTGCAGGGAGCATAAATTGAAGAAGTTTCTCGGCCTTGTGTTATTGTAAGTGAGTGAGAGCTACATTGTGAAGGCATATCGTCCATCTTGGAAAGCTGATTTACTCACGTCGAAATCTGTTCTTCGATTCAACAGGAGAAGAAAAGTTATGGGGTGGAGAAAGCTCGTCCTCTTCTGTGCATGTCTCCTCCTTCTTCAGTTTGCCATGGGCAGTTTTGCCAACGCTTTACCACAAGAAGAAGGCCTATGGGGTAATGGTTTTATTCTGCGCTTTTCATTTTCAATTTCCTCAAAGCTAGAGAAGGAGGTTAAACTATATAATTTGCTTTGTTTATCAAGCATTTTTTACCACAATGATAAGTGCGAGGTGTTTTGAGCAGATCATTTGAAACCAAGGCAAGGTAAAGGATGTTTTATTCCTCTATGCTGCTGCAAACCCCATTCTGGTTGGTTGTGCGGCTTCAAGCCCTGGTGTTGCTGCTAACAAGGACCATCAAGAAGACGTCCACAAGTCCACAATAAGACCCATATCATGACAATGTCCACATACTGATCTGCCATTGGTAGGATAACTAAATAAACTGCAAGCGTAGATGATGATCTTGACAGCTGGACAAGATCAACACTACACCGAGTAGTATATATATAAAGTAAGAGTAGATACGATCGATATAGGATTAATTTGATGTTCAGATGCTCTAAGGTTGAAATGAAGTGAGATTGTAGCACACTCTCATGTGCTGGTGTGAATAAACTGCATAGACGTTGCCTAGTCATCAGAGATGTGTAGAGCCATACACGCCTTCATCAGAGCTTGATGGCGATACAAATTTGAGATTTGTTCAAGAGTCTAATGTGATAGGCTTGATGTAGTTGTATCTTCTCCGCAATGTGTAAGAAGATAATCATTTGCACAGTTTAAAGTTGCTACAAGTTTAAGGTTTGCTTAGTCTCCTGTTCATACCCATCCTTGACACTCTGAGAAAGGTCTTGAGAATGCATCATAACTCTTCCTACTTTTGCGTTCCGTTTGTGCCTTACTGCCTGAGCATTGAAATGTTTCCCAGAGAAACCTCCTAGCAAGTTCGATTACCATCGATCATGAGCAGCACTGTCGTATTGTGAGTAACAAGCTTGAGACCGGAGATATGTACCATAGCAAGAATTAGGTGTGACCAATCCGTTCGATTATTCTTGAATCGAAGTGTTACGCATCTTGGTGATTCTTTGGCTTACACATTTGTTCGTAGCTAGGTGGAGTTTGCAAAGACGATAGGTGTGACCAATAAGTTTGATTATTCTTGGATCGAAGTGTTACGCATCTTGGTGATTCTTTGGTTTACACATTTCTTTGTAGCTAGGTGGAGTTTACAAAGAAGATAGGTGTGACCAATAAGTTTGATTATTCTTGGATCGAAGTGTTACGCATCTTGGTGATTCTTTGGTTCACACATTTCTTCGTAGCTAGGTGGAGTTTGCAAAGAAGATAGGTGTGACCAATAAGTTTGATTATTCTTGGATCGAAGTGTTACGCATCTTGGTGATTCTTTGGTTTACACATTTCTTCGTAGCTAGGTGGAGTTTGCAAATAAGATGGCTCATTCCGCTGGTTAGATAACGGGCAAGCATTCAATCGCTGATGAAAACAGTATTTAGATGATCGAAGCTAATTTGGAAATTTATTTCCAATATGACACTCATTTAGTACAGGATGTAGATTTGTTTTCAACTTGAACTGGGCAGCAATCTCCATGTCGTCAGCTGAGCATAAAAAAATGAAGAATTTCAAGGTAAGAGCTGTATTTCTGAATACAGCTCCAAGCATTGTGATTTGTAAATTAGAATTTATCAGATCTACAACCAAGGGATGATGGACAAAAAGGTAGACTGAAGAATGTTGGCAGCAACTATGCTTCATACAGATATTTGAATGGAGGGAGAAGATAGTGATACTTCGAAAGGACAATAAGCTGAATCTGATGACTTTCTAGTGTCAAGAGAATTTCGTGAAAGGTCTACCTAACGATATGAAGGGGATCTGTCAGGACCCTCCAATAATTGCGGGTGGAGAATTTTGGTCCAGCAAGTAACTTTTCTTTGCATAGAACAAAGCAGCCATGGTGTGAAGATTTTTATTTCATTCATTCATCATTTGTCAAAAGCAGGTGAACCAACGTAAGGTGGTGTGTAGAATGCTTACTTCAGGTATTTCAAAAACTTTTGAAATGTAGATTATAAATCCAAGAGTTTTCTACTCAGCACCTCATCGTGAGTCATCTGCTATCAAGTGATTAGCAAACTAATTGGTAGATCAGGAATTGAAAAAAAATCACCAAGGACTGTCCCGAACGATATGCTTCGGTTCACGAAGCTGCATGGCAAAGAAATGTCGAGCTGAAAAGATAATTTCTTCGTTATCGAAGAAGTCCTTTAAAGAAAGCAAAGATTCAAACATATGCACAGACCTGAGGTCACAAAAATAGTCAGGTCTGTGTTAAATTTGTTTGCAGGGGCAGAATTTGAACTTTTTGTTTTGTGTGTCGATTTCGTAGAGTTTCATGATGTTGGCTTGATGTACTCACCATGACTGGATTTACACCGATGGCTCCCATGACGGTGGATAGTCAAATTAATAACTACTTCTGTTCGTAAAACTATGTGTTCAAGTTGATCAAGTCGAGGATTTTAACCTTCAAAACCATAACTTGATCTTGACGTGGAACATATAGGCATTCTTCAAGGATGTAGTAATTCCCCGGAAGGATCGAAAAATTTGGTACAAAAACAATATTTTACACGGATTCTCATGGGTATTGCCAATTGCGTCCACCCGTTTATAGGTGGTGAGCTTCAAACAAACGACTTCAACCTATTAGGAAGAAGAGTAACAAAGGAGAAGAAATTTAATCAGAAGATAAAAGAGTTGCAATATTCCACGATCTCGCATTCTAGTAATCACTGTTCTTCTGAGATGATTCGCCTTGTCGTGGCGAGGGAACAGGGAGAAACCCTGCTTGAGATTCGTATCTTGAGTTCTGGTGTGAAGAAGTGTACTCTGCCGCCAGAAAAAAGTGAGAACCAGGTTTGGCCTTGATCTGCCCACAACGCCTTATTCAACGATGGAGAATTAGGGCTGTTTGGGTATTAAAACCTAACCCGTAAGTAATTTGCATCAACTGAACGGTCACAGCGAGACAATCAGTTCTCACAAATTGTTCTCTCGAGTTGTACAAAAACTCCAATTTCAAACTTGCGCATTCCTATGCGCAGGTTTAAAAGGTCCCCGTCTCTGTCCTGGAAATTAAGCAAATGTTGACAGTAATATGAACATATTGACAATGTTTGTAGCAGACTTGTAATGGCTACGTTTTGGATCACATGACATTCTCTAGTATGCCACATCTGGAGCCTTTTCGATACAGAGGTTAAATTTTCACGTTAGACATAGCTTGCATTAGCTGTAAATTCTGAAATATTTCAAAGGCAGGATATTCCAGCTAAAGCCGCTGTGCATTCTTTCATTTTCTGATCGTTTGCATTACAATGAAAGAGGCAGTTTCCGATGGATGTCGTTCCAGATACGGATCTATCCGGTCTACAAGAGAAGACACTTCTCTGAAAAAGTCAAACAATCATCTGCCAGTAACTACCACTACCGTCGTGGACGATTGCAGTGGAAAATAAAATCATGTGACTGAACTTCGATCTGGATTAAGCAGTTTGTGACAGTTGTTAGCAATTTAGTTCCTTTCTTTCAATCAGTGCAGATGGAAGCCCGGAGCCCTGCATGGAAAACTTGGAGGAAGACGCACACCTTGGAATGCTTGCCAATCTCTAGGCTTCCTGGACATACCTGGACAGTGAGAAAGAGGATGGTGATGATACTTTAGAAGTTGATACTCGTACCTTGCTCTCTCCAATCAGCAACGCAGTTGTCATTCTTTATAGGTTAGGGTGGGAAGGTTAAGGGAACTGACTAGTCATATTGATGAGTGGCAACGTATGCTGCACCTCCTGTACAGAGAAGAACATGACGTGGAAAGAAAGCGATAGTTTAATTCTAAGATTGTTCAATAAGGTCGTGCTATCCATGTCTGCAGAATGAACTTCTAATTTACGACCATCAAGTTAGGGTGCTAGCAATTATTTGTCTCATGTATGTGCAGCAATAACTGACCACGGCACAGTTACCTTATTCCCCAAATATATCACTACTGCCCTGACCATCTTCGTTGAGACTCCTGCTGAACGTCTCGCTTTCAGTAAATCTCCTCTTTTCCTTGGTCAAGCATGGTCGTCAACAACCCCTCTCAAATCACATCATTATGCGTTAGGAGTTTTTCGAATCCAGTCTACTTCCTCACAAAATTCACCATAAATTTATTTTGAACATCTTCTCTCATTAGTCGAGTATCATCCGATGTGATATTGATGCTAGTGACTCTTTCGGAGTTTCGCTAATCCAGTCTACTTCCTCTCTAGAATTCACCATAAATTTATTTTGAACATCTTTTTTCATCACTCGAATATCACCTGATATGCTATTGATGCTAGTGACTCTTTAAGAGTTTTGCTTATCCAATGAACTCTCTCTATACAAGTCACCATAAGTTTGATCAGAAAATTATTTTTCATCAGTCAAATATCACCTGATGTGATATTTATTTCAGCAACTCTTTAGGAGTTAAAAAAATCCAATCTACTTTCTCTCTACAAGTCACGATAAGTTAGATCTAAATATTCATTTTAACATCAGTCAAATATCACCTGATGTGATGTTGATTTCAGTAACTCTTTAGGAGTTTTGCTGATCCAGTCTACTACCTGTCTGGAAGTCACCATAGCTCATCTGAATATCCTTTTTCCATCAGTCAAATATCACCTGATGTGATGTTGATATTAGTAACTCTTTAGGAGTTTTGCTAATCCAGTCTACTACAGTACCTGTCTGGAAGTCACCATAGTTTGTATCTGAATATCCCTTTTTCATCAGTCAAATTTCACCTGATGTGATGTTGATGTCAGTAACTGTTAAGGAGTTTTGCTAATCCAGTCAACTACCTGTCTTCAAGTCACCATACATTGTATCTGACTATTCTTTTTTCATCAGTCAAATATCACCTGATGTGATACTTATGTCAGTAACTCTTTAGGAGTTTTTCTAATCCAGTCTACTACCTGTCTACAAGTCACCATGCATTTAATTCTTAATAAACTTTTATCATTAGTCAAATATCACCTGATGTGGTATTGATGTTATTGACTCTTAGGAGTTTCGCTATCCCAATCTACTCTCTCTTTTCAAATGACCATGAATCTATTTTAAATAAACTATATTTTTTCATCAGTCGAATATCGCTCGATGTGATTTTTCATCATCACAATCCTGATCATAGATGAACACTCAGAACACTCTTGCGGGGAGAGAACTCTTGCAGGGAGCATAAATTCAAGACGTGTTTCGGTCTTAGAATTTTGAGAGTGAGAACTACTTTGTGAAAGGATATTATCCACCTTGGGAAACTTGTTAACTCAGGTCAAACTCTGTTATTCGATTCAACCGAAAAAGGCTAGTTATGGAGTGGAGAAAGCTTCTCCTCTTCTGTGCATGTCTCTTCCTCCTTCAAGTTGCCATGGGCAATTTTGCCAACGCCTTACTGCAAGAAGAAGGTTCATGGGGTAATGGTTTTCTCTGCACTTTAAGTTTTCGATTTTCTCAAAGCTAGATAAGAAGTAATAGCTCTGTAATTTGCTTCATTTGTCAAGTATTCTTGACCGCACTGAAAAATGCGAGGTGTCTTGAGCAGATCATTTGGAACCAATGCGTAAACGGTGTCTTATTCCTCTTTGCTGCTGCAAGCCCAATTCTTGGTGGTGCTCCTTCAAGGACACGTGTTGCTGCTAATAAAGACCTTCAAGAAGACGTCC